CGGAGACGATATCTGCGTCTCAGTCAAAAAGAGCAAGGCCGGCTTTGCTGTCTCAAGGTGGTGATGGACAGCATTGAGGTTGGTGTGTAATCCCCTGATGTTGCAGAAGTCCACATTCAGCGCGGCAAGGGGTGCCATGGTTATTCTGCTCTTGCCTCCAGCTTTATGATGCGCAGTTTTGCCCCCCCCAGAGTACGATGTGGGGCGGCCTGGACGTCCACGCTCAGGGTAGTTGAGTTCTGAAAATGGACGTCCAGAGAGGGATTCTCCAACGCAGTTGGTACCCTCCTGGGGTAGAAACTCTTGTATCAACTGCGCCATTATGAAGGGGGGGGGGGGGTTGGGCCTCCGGTACCCTCACTCACTCGGTCAAACACAGCGCAAGCGCTGTTTCACACCGGTTTTCTGTGTTTACCATTCATTGGTTTGCCATTCAATTATAGTCCCTAATTAGTAAACATTAAGGTACTATTTCAGTCACAGCTGATGTCACGGCCTCCTCTGTAAAATGTCAAAGATAAGTACGTCAGATATTGTCCTCTCTATACATAGGTATACTAACTTTACATGCGGCTTCATATGAGTATCTGTGATGTAGTAATCTGTGATGAAATCCTCTCTCAGAGCTCCCCTTCACAGATTCCATCGTATACAGAAACTACAGAGCGTCACCTACTACGCTCCTTACATACTTCTTTAGCTTCCACCACATTCATACATCTGATGGTATACAGAAACTACAGAGCGCCACCTACTACGATCCTTACACACTTCTTAAGCTTCCATCACATTCATACATCTGATGGTATACAGAAACTACAGAGCGCCACCTACTACGCTCCTTACATACTTCTTTAGCTTCCACCACATTCATACATCTGATGGTATACAGAAACTACAGAGCGCTACCTACTACGCTTCTTACATACTTCTTCAGCTTCCATCACATTCATACATCTGATGGTATACAGAAACTACAGAGCGCCACGTACTACGCTCCTTACATACTTCTGTAGCTTCTTCCACATTCATACATCTAAATAAATATCATCATCATAACATCACGCCTTTTATCTCCGAAGGGGTAAGCAGAGGTGCATAAAAATGTGTGTGTATGTAGACAAGAACCCGGCGTGCAAAGTATTGAATTCACAGGTGCGTTGCCGGCCTTTTAAAAAGGAGTACGCTCTTTTCTTGAAGGTTTGAAGGTCGTATCAGTTCAGAAATACCGCTGACGACAGATCATTCCACAGTTTTGCTGTGCGAGGCAGACAGCTACGTGAGAACCGCACAGTTGTGGCCTGCCAACCCTCTCTATATGGTGGATGTATGATGATCTATTTGGTGGATACCTATGTAAAATATATCAATAAAAAAAACGCCTCTCGGGTGGATGGAATATCCACCATGCTCTTTACTTAGACTGCACTGGACGTAACAAGGCCAGCTCTATATATTATTAATGGTCTGACATCTACCTGTTATTGATTCACAATACTCTTCGCTATACTTAGAAATTATTAATCTTTTATCGAGCTGTGGACACGAGGAGCATAACATAACATCACGCCTTTTATCCCCGAAGGGGTAGGCAGAGGTGCACATTATGCCACTACAATGTAACACCCACTTTTCACTATTTATATTACGAGTCCCATGTAATAGGGTACAATTAAACAGGGGTGAGCCATATACCGGGTACAATTCCAGACTCTGTGCTACTACTGACAATTTTTTTAAATCCCAGTGATACTTTGCCCGACCCGGGAATCGAACCCGACACCCCTTGCCCGGCAGTCGCACTTGCGACTACTCAGCCAACAAGGCAATGGATTTAAGCTCACCCCCTATTACATGAGACTCATAACTGGTGAAGAGTGGGTGTTACATGGTATAAATTCCACATCTTCCGTAACCAGCTCACACATAGGACCCACTTAGTTTTTTTAGTCAAATTTCCGTGGTGCTTGGCGACTGGGCTTCACCCAGTTGTACAGTCTCTTCTTTTTGCCTTTAGGCTTAATTCATTCTGTCTCCTGCAGTAATTCACCGAGGGAAGTGGAAACTATAGTTTTTTCTTCTCCTCTTATAATATCTTCTGATTCATTTCGTTGCGAGAACCAAGACAGTTACTCATGTCCCTGGGACGCGCCGTTTTCATGGTTGTATCTACTGTAGGTCCTGGCTTACAGAAATTGCAGCGGTTTTGGGAGGTTGTGGCGGGCTTGTACCTATTAAAAAAAAAATCTTCCGTAACCAATCAATTTACGGATTACCTACATAATATCTCTTCAATCACTTCTGCCAACCAACCCCCCTACCAAATAAAGGGTGTAATATTGTTAAGCTCCTTTATACCATCCCATATTGTTCTGAATTTGATAAAAGATTCACTTGAGCGTTTAAAATAGAAAACTGAATCGATTCCTGCTGAATACTGAACGGAGCGCTCACACAAATCGATACGGCATTGTCAGTTTAGTAATTAAGGTTATATTGCGGTATGACACATCGTAGTATCGCGCTTGCTATTGTTTGATGGTATAGACAGAGGTGCACGTAATTTTATTAGCGACTTTTGACTAGTATATAATTTTTTATGGGATAAGCCGGTAAACGAGCAGACGGATCACCTGATGGTAAGCAATCGGCATCGCCCATGGACACCTGGAACACTAGAGGCGTTACAAGTGCGTTACTGGCCTTTTTGGGAATAGAAATTTGACGATTGTTGGGGATTCAGGGATTGGGGAGATTCGGGAAGGGGGGAGGATAATTGGGCCTCCGGTAACCTCACTCACACGACGAAATACAACGCAAGTTTTGTTTCACTATGGTTTTCTGCTCGGTCGTGGTATCACTCCGGTCGGCTCATTCGTGCCGAAGCATGGCTCTCCCACACTTAAAGTGATTATTTATATCTCACTTATTTCTGCCCTTTCCGTCGGATACAAGATAAGATTAAATTAGTAACTAGCGAACCGCCCCGGCTTCGCACGGGTGCAATATGTATGTATTAATTATAGGTACACATAAACCTTCCTCTAGAATCACTCTATCTATTAAAAAAAAACACATAAAAATCCGTTGTGTAGTTTTAAAAAAAGGTACTCAACTCTCTTTGCGCCATCGAGCGGTTAAAGATCTAAGCATACATAGGGACAGATAGACGGAGGATAGCGACTTTGTTTTATACTATGTAGTGATGATATAATCGGGTACTTGCCAACTAGTCAAATTCAATACTTTTATCAAACTGTCAAAAACGACAGTTTTCTATGAATTTCGTACGAGATTATGTATTGTGACGTCACGTCTCTTTACGTCAAACAGCGTACTTATTTCTTAAAATGTTGCTAAAAAAATACTAAAATTAAGTTGGTCATAAAATCAATTAATGAAAGAGTGATTGTTTTTTAATATTTTATTGTATTGAACAGTCGAAATAATTTGTTTTCTATTAAGAAAAGTACCCAATTATTGTAAGTATTGCGATGGTGAAATGGACGGATTTATGAGAGAAAAGTAGTTTTTTTTACAGCGAAAGCATCAAAACCTTCCCGAATTAAACGTACGAAGCCGCATGTAAAGCTAGTATATCTATGTATAGAGAGGTCAATATCTGACGTACTTATCTTTTGACATTTTACAGAAGAGGCCGTGACCTCAGCTGTGACTGAAATAGTACCTTAATGTTCACAAATTAGGGACTATAATTGAATGGACAGAGTTAGGGGGCACACACCTATGTGATTGAAATATATTGAAGTGGAGTCCAAGGTCAATTCTGTCTGTTTATGGAAAACTAGCTTTAGCTAGCGGCTTGGCTCGAGTTTCCAGGGGTTTTTTAAGCGGAGAAAATCATCGAATGACTGCTCCCGCCTGGGTGAGGCGGGAGTGTCAGACTCTTACTGACTAAAAACCACCCTGTTCCTTCTCCTACACGTCGAGCCGGAGCCCCGGTAACCCGTTAGGTTCTCCGCGACGCGTTCCCATGGGGTAAAAAGTTGCCTATGTTATTCTAGACAATTTTTTTAAAGGCTTCATGCACACTCTAATTGTACAAGGTGGGCTTAATGCCATGGGCATTCTCCTCCAGCCAGACCTTTGGGTGATGCAGAGACAAAAACAATGGTCGATTGCAAGAAGCAAGCGTATTCTTTTTTTTTATTACAGTGTTGTTTTGGAGGTTTCTCCTTCTCGGGGTTGAACCGGTGAAAATGGGCACCGCGTCCCGCGACCCGCAGGAAAAACACTTTTTTTATTACTATTTATTATCTTTATTACTATTTTCTCTTATACTATATAGATATCTGTATTTTCATTGTATTTTGTTTTTAATTTTAATCTACTTTGTATTTGTGTGCTTATATGTTGAATAAATGCTTTTTCTTCCTTTCTTTCTTTCTTCGATTCAAGATCTATATAACAAAGAGACATATATAGTAATACAAATTACAAGTGCGTTACCGGCCTTTTGGGAATTTGAGTATTGTGGGGATTCGGGTATTCTATGCTAATGGTAGTGGCCCGGAGGTTTAAGATGCCCGCTTATCATGCATGAGAGTGCGGGCTCGAAACCTACCAACGGCAAGTACCAATGTGACTTTTTCCGAGTTATATGTACTTTCTAAGAGTATCTAGATACCACTGACAAACGGTGAAGGAAAACATCGTAAGGAATCCTTGGCTTACAATTTCTGATTATAAGTTTGAAATCGCCAACCCGCATTGAACAAGCGTGATGATGCTCAAACCTTCTCCGTGTTAGAAAAGGCTTTGCTCAGCAGTGGGCATTTAGAGGCAGATCTACATTTTGGAATGAGCACCTAGCTTCACCTAGTTTCACTGACGGATTGACTGACAGACTATTATTTATTTTGTATTTGTTGACCTTTCAAAAGTACCAAACTATGGTTTAATTGAAATAAATGCTTTGACTTTGACTTTGCTATTGATGATGAGTCTGTGCTAATAATACTATGTCTTTTTGTCACCAGGAGCTGTCGAAGCTTGAGAGTCAGCTCGGGTCCTCAGCGCCACCGACATCAACAGCTCTGTCCTGTTCTATCGATCTACCAACAGATGTCATCTCAGAGGTAAAGAAATATTCGTGTTTATTTGTAGTACAGAGTGCTCTCCAGCTAATCCACATGGTGACTGGCAGTGGTTAGAAGCGTACACCTAAAGATTGACATCAGGTTGAAATGAAACCTTTATTTGTGATACATAGGTACATTTGGTTGGTCATTTTTAGATTAAAGTGCGCTATGATCAGCCTATTTTAGGCATACAAATACTCGTATAAGAGTTTAAATCAGTAAGTCCATTAATTAGTTAGATAAGCAAATATGAATTTGTCGTGTTTTAATAAATTACATGTCAATAGTGTTCGTCAAAAAGTCAGATGAGGAAGACTACTTAATGCTTCATAAATTATAATAAATTGATGTCAATAAGTAGGTAATTAATGGATTATTGTAGTCAATACGTTAATGCTGAAATCTTCTCCTTTGGGAGAGGCCTATGTTTCTCAGTGGTTGAAAATGTTGCCTCTTTACATAGAAAATGGTAGAAGCTCTCGCACCCTCGTACCCAAGGCGCTTACTCTTTAAACCAATCTCAATGTCAATGTAATTTCAATCTAATCAAATCTCAATAATTATTCAATGTCAACACTATACAACCACAATCGTAGCTGTTACAATAGCATTCAGAGTACGGAATATAAAGCTAAACTCAATACCATTTAGTTTATTCAATATCCACGCAATACGGATGCAATGGGCGCTAGTGTTGCATCTCGAGAGTACGAAATTTCACAATACCAATGTCGATCGATCGGAATTGGATTCAAGAGTAAGCCCCTTGGTGATAGACGGGACACTACACTAGGGTGGTTTTTAATTAGTAAGATTGTTCAGCTTCAACAGTACCCTTTGTCAATCTCAGGCGAGGGGTCCATTAGGATTTTCCAGCTTGGGGTCTTCAGTTATTGGTATCGGTTTCAATTCCGTTCCGAATCTTTTTCGATTAAAGACATGACGTTTATGTATGCATATATTTAACTTGAAGCTTGTATGGAGGAGTGTATATTTTTTTTAAGTGGAGAAAAATCATCCAATGACTTTTCCCGCCTGGGTGAGGCGGGAGAGAGAATCAGACTCTTACTGACTAAAAACCACCCCGTTCCTACTCCTGCACTTCGAGCCGGAGCCCCGGTAACCCGTTAAGTCCTCCGCGGCTCCGTATCGGTATCAGCCATATTAGGCCCCATTCGTTGTAGTCTGATGGCTCTTTAAGAAGCTTTAATTATTAATTTAAACTATTCATTTCGTCCAGGTACGAAACGAGCCAGTCTTTAACCAAATCCTGTATTTCCAGGCAATCTTATCTCCGGATAAGGCAGGCTCCTTGCTGTCTGTGCAGTCGGCGCCACCGGAGCAGAGGGAGAGACCTGCCAGCCTGCTGCTCGAATTACCATTAGCGACGGTGAGTTAAATCATAACGTATTCATCAATAACTGCCTCGTTGGCCGCGTGGTCGCAATTGCGACTCAGCAAGGGGTCTCGGGTTCGATTCCCGAGTCAGGCAAAAAAATTACTAGGTTTTTTCAAAAAATCTCAGTAGTAGCACGGAGTCTGAAATTGTGCCCGGTATATGGCAATAGGCTCACCGCCTATTACATGGGACTCATAATATGAATAGTGAAAAGTGGGTGTTACATTGTACAGTGGCATTAAGTGCCGTAATGTACACCTCTGCCTACCGCTTCGGGGATAAAAGGCGTAATGTTATGTATGTTATGTATGTCTTCATCAAGCCCTAAGTTAGTGTGACATTATTTTAATGACATTGTAGAGTTTTATTAATGACACCTAAGGATTTAGACAGACGGACCACATTTCAAATGCAATGCAACCGAAAATCGCAGTTCGGATGTAATTGGAATGCAGTCGTGTCACGGTAATGTTAAGTTAATGTTTTTAAGTGTGAGAGAGCCATTCTTCAGCGAATGGGTCCGCTTGACCAGAGTGATACCACGGCCTCACTAGAAACCGATGTGAAGCAACGCTTGCGTTGTGTTTCGTCGTGTGAGTGAGGTTACCGGAGGCCCAATTCCCCTCCTTCTCCAATCTCCCAACCCCGAATCACCAACAATCCTCAAACTCCTAATCCCCAAAAGGCTGATAACGCACTTGTAACTCCTCTGGTGTTCCGTGTGTCCATGGGCGACGCCGATTGCTTACCATCAGGTGATCCGTATGCTCGTTTACCGGCTTATGCTATAGAAAAAAATACGGTTGTTCACGGGTGGTGGGATATTTACCATCAAATGATTCATCAGACTGCCTCGTTGGCCGAGTGGTCGCAAGTGCGACTGCCGGGCAAGGGGTCTCGGGTTCGATTCCCGGGTCGGGCAAAGTATTACTAGGTTTGTAAAAACCTCAGTAGTAGCACGGAGTCTGGAAATGTGCCCGGTATATGGCAATAGGCTCACCCCCTATTACATGGGACTCATAACATAAATAGTGAAAAGTGGGTGTTACATTGTACAGTGGCATTAAGTGCCGTAATGTGCACCTCTGCCTACCCCCTTCGGGGATAAAAGGCGTGATGTTATGTTATGTTATGTTATGATTCATCAGCTCATTTATATAACAAAACATTTGTTTCCAAGAAGGGCGGTGCGTTATTTACCATCAGGTGATTCATCTGGTCGTTTATACCAAAAAAATGTGCCAAAGGCCCCCAGCGTAGCCTAAGACGGCTCCAAGGAGAACTGTGTGAGGCAGTGGAAAGTACGTGGCTGATTGCATGATGATAATGTTCTTTTTTTACAGCAAGTAGGAGCCTACCTCTCGGCCATGTCGCCGACTGAGCAGGAGGAGGACTCCTTGCTTACTCTGTCGTCGGTGACTGCGCGCCCCCTGCTGGCAGCGTCCAGGAAACTGCGGCCGCCTCCCGATTCGTCCGCTGAGTGAGTCTCTGTTTTGTTACAAAATGTGATATTAGATAATCAGATCCTCAATGTCGTTAGTGGATGCGAAGAGCTTGCAGAGGTGGAGGCGGAGGCCCTCGGTGGATTTTTTTTTTTTTTTTTAAGGGGGAAAATCATTGAATGACTGCTCCCGCCTGGGTGAGGCGGGAGGGAGTGTCAGACTCTTACTGACTAAAAACCATCCCGTTCCTTCTCCTGCACGTCGAGCCGGAGCCCCGGTTACCCGTTAAGTTCTCCGCGACGCCCTCGGTGGATAGAAATTAACTAACGATGATGGGAATTTCGAATAAATAACATAACATCACGCGTTTTATCCCTGGAAAGGTAGGCACATTACGACAATTAATGCCACTGTACAATGTAACACCCACTTTTCACTATTTATGTTATGAGTCCCATGTAATAGGGGGTGAGACTATTGCCATTTACCGGACACAATTCCAGACTCCGTGCTACTACTGAGAATTAAAATAAAACCCTGTAATACTTTGCCCGACCCGGGAATTGAATCCGAGACCCCTTGACGGCAGTCGCACTTGCGATCACTCGGCCAACGAGGCAGTCATAACATATTTTATATCGTTAATTCATCATCCTAATCCCTAAAAGGCCGGTAACGCACTTGTAACGCCTCTGGTGTTCTAGGTGGCCATGGGCGACGCCGATTGCTTACTATCAGGTGATCCGTCTGCTCGTTTACCGGCTTATGCCATAAAAAAAACTACCTATGTAGTGATACAATAACAGTGAATTTTGGAATTTCTTGTTTCCAGAAGTACAGCCCCGCCAGATGGTGGTTACGGCTGGGTGGTTGTGTTCGGAGCATTCATGGTGCAGTTCTGGGTGGCTGGCCTCTTCAAGTCTTACGGAGTGTTGTACGTGGAGATCATGGAGACGTTTCCAGATTCATCCGAGTCTGTAGCGTCGTGGATACCTGCTGCGCTGTCTACCTTGTGTTTGGCACTGGGTAAGTTCAGTTTTTGTTTTTTTGGTTATTATTTATTACCATACATTTAAAACAATCACATAGATGATTAATTACACATTAACATAACACAACATCACGCCTTTTATCCCTGAAGGGGTAGGCAGAGGTGCACATTATGCCACTGTACAATGTAACACCCACTTTTCACTATTTATGTTATGAGTCCCATGTAATAGGGGGTGAGCCTATTGCCATATACCGGCCACAATTCCAGACTCCGTGCCACTACTGAGAATTTTTAAAAAAGTAATACTTTGCCCGACCCGGGTATCGAACCCGAGACCCCTTGCCCGTCAGTCGCACTTGCGACCACTCGGCCAACGAGGCAGCAGGCAATTACACATTAATTACACATAACAAAACATAAACCAATATAAAAGTCAAACATCACTGAAATATGTAGTTTAAGTGTGGGACAGCCACGCTTCGGCACGACACGGCCTCACAGAAGAGCAATCTCAATCCTTAACAATCCTTAAAAACCTAATCTTCAAAAGGCCGGTAACGCACTTGTAACACCTCTGGTATTTTCGGTGTCCATGACGCCGATTGCTTACCATCAGGTGATCCGTCTGCTCGTTTATTATTTCATAAACAGCGAGCACTCCTCTACCAACATCTCCAGTAATTAAAACCAGTTTTCTTCTTACAGCTCCTCTTTCATCAGCTCTGTGTGAGAAGTACTCCTGTCGTCTTGTGGTCTTCATTGGGGGTCTATTCTGTGCTACTGGCCTAGCACTGTCCTACTTCAGTCGTGGTCTACTGCATCTATTGTTGAGTTTTGGAGTCATGACCGGTAAGGAAACTAAAAGACCGTTTGTTCTACTAATAATAAGTACAAATTATAAGTTTTAAATCACCAATCCGCCTAAGCAAACGCGGTAGTTAATGCTCTTATCTTTTCCTTACGAGACATTTGCTCAGCAGTGTGCACTTGCAAACTGATGATTGTAATTTGGTCTATTGGTCTACTAGAAAGACCATCGGTCTACTGAAAAGACCAGTGGTCTACTGGTCTCATGAGACTTCTGTTAAGATTAGCGAAGAGTATATTGTTATAGATACGTCTATTAATTACTATTTATTAGTCTATTGTCAAAGTTTATGGTCGATTTAAATGACAGTTGTTCATAATTATGTAAATTAATAAAACAATTATTTTTCTACAGGAATTGGTGGTGGCTTGTCAACTACACCTGGCATTGTAATCGTCTCTCAATATTTTGATAAACACAGGTGAGTTGCACTTTATGTATTTGATTTCATATGTTCGAAGGTTTTAATGAAAACCGACGTGAAACAACGCTTGCACTGTGTCCGGCCGTGTGAGTGATGTTACTTGAGACACAAACTCACACTTCCATTCCCCATCCCCAATCAACAACGCCTAATCCCCAATCCCAATTTCCAGTCTGCAATAGGCAATCGATAATTTGCGATTTCCAATCTCCAATCTTCAGTCTTCAATCTCCAACCTCCAACCTCCAACCCAATACCCAATCTCTAATCCCCAATCACAATCCTCATTACCAATACCCAATCCCCTATCACCAACCCTTAATCTCCAAATCTCCAGATCCCCAAAACTCCAAATCTCCAAATCCCCAATCCCTAAACTATCATTCCCTCATCGCCGGCAACACACTTGTAACTATTTATGTCCATGTAGGACATCGATTGCTTACCATCAGGTGATCCGTCTGCTCGTTTATCTGCCTAAATGCCTTTTAAACTCCCAACAGCTTTTCCTGACATAATGAAGCAGTGGATGACGATGACAATAATATTCCTATCTCTTTCCAGGGCGTTGGCTAACGGCATATGTGTGAGCGGGACGGCAGCTGGAAGCTTCGTGTTCCCGATGCTCATTGAAAAACTTGTGGATATGTACGGACTACATGGGACTGTTCTTTTATTGGGTAAGCGTAATATTATAAAACTAACTGTTACCCGCGACTTTGTCTATGTAGAATACGAGTTTTAAGACAATTTGCAAAAATAAAAGTAAATTAGGTAATAAGGAAAAAAAAACTGTGGAATGATCTGTCGTCGGTGGTATTTCCGAACCGATACGACCTTCAAACCTTCAAGAAAAGACCGTATTCCTTTTTAAAAGGTCGGCAACGCACCTGTGACTCCTCTGATGTTGCGAGTGTCCATGGGCGGCGCTGATCGCTTACCATCAGGTGATCCGTCAGCTCGTTTCATGTAGGAATAACATAAGCATGCTACTCCTATTTATAATACATATTTTCTCATTATGTCTTTTATAACGGCTTTTATAACAGATCAGGGGGCTTACTCTTGTATCCAATTCCGATCGATCGACATTAATATTGCGTCGTGAGTTGCAACACTAGCGCCCATTGCATCCGTATTGCGTGGATATTGAATGAACTAAATGGTATTGAGTTTGTCTTTATATTCCGTACTCTGTATGCTATTGTAACAGCTACGATTGTGGTTGTATAGTGTTGACATTGAATAATTATTTAGGTTTTATTGGATTGAAATAACATTGACATTGAGATTGGTTTCAAGAGTAAGCAACCAGGTTAAAAGGCCAAGATTATGTTTCTGAAAATTCTTATCCTTACTATTATAAATGGGAAAGTGAGTTTGTTTGTTTGTTTCGCTTTCAGGCCATTACTTCTAAACCGATTGCTTTGAATTTTTGTAGACGTAAAGTTAGAAGTCTGGATTAAATAATAGGGTACTTTTTATCCCGGAAAATTTTGATACTCCCGAGGGAAAACAAAAGAATTGGTATAAATGGCGCTGTGTGTATTGGTATATGTCACATAGGCTACTTTTATCATTTTGTGACGCGAGCGAAGCCGCGGGTAAAAGCTAGTACTTAATAAATAAATAACTTATAAAGAATATAAGATGTTATTGTTACAATTCTACAGGAGGTGGCATGCTACACGTCTGCGTGTCAGCTACCCTCTACCGCCCAGCGCCGGTCAGCTTCAACACCTCAGCGCTGGCTGACAGGACACCAGCTACCACCACCACTACTGAACATACCACGCTCTTACATGATATACAAGAAGGTAAAAAAATATACTCCATCTAATCCAAAATAAATTTAAGTGTGGGAGAGTCATACTTCGACACGAATGGGCCGGCTCGACCAGAGTGATACCACAGCCTCACAGAAGTCCGATGTGAACCAACGCTTGTGTTATATTTCGTCGTGTGAGTGAGGTAGTGTTGAGCAACGGTTCCTACTGTAGGGCAAGGTTAGAAAGAAACAAAAAGAAAACATGATCCTTTTTGATACCACGGCCTCACAGAAGACCGACGTTAACCAACGCTTGTGTTATGTTTCGTCGTGTGAGTGAGGTTACCTAAGGCCCGAATACTCCCCCCTCCCTAATATCTTTAAACCCCAACATTCCTCAAATTCCTAATCCCAAAAGGCCGGTAAAGCACTTGTAACGCCTCTGATGTTTCCGGGAGCCGATGGGCGACGCCGAATGCTTACCATCAGGTAGTCCGTCTGCTTGTTTACCGGCTTGTCTCGTAAAAAACATGTATACAAGTCACTAATATTAGGTACTACACAAATCTGGCCCCTTATAAGCTACTCTCTCCTAAGCCTTGCCAGCGGAGATTATAACAAACCTGTCTGATGTAGATAGACCCATAGTGCAGCAGTGTATTGTCCAGGACGTTTGAATAAAACCATTCTGCTGTGGAATGCGCTGCCCACGGATGTCAGGACGGCAACCAGCCGGCTTAGTTTTAAAGTTAAGGTTCGTGAACTATTGCAGAGGGAACAGACAGACGCATCACGTACTTAATTTATAGTTTTATCCCCAATTTATTTATTAATTTTATAGTATTGTTATTTAGTAATATTGATAATGTATTTTATGTAATTTATGTTATACCTATATATACGGATATATGTATGTATTTACAGTTATGCATAATCATAAATTTATTTATATAGATTTTTCTGTGTCACATATACCATTATATCTATACTCGGAATTTTAATTCGATTCCAGATTTGACAATTTCAGTGTTGGAACGTTATGACAAGTACTAAATAGTGACGTTGCGAAATTATTCGATATGGAAATGGAATATTTCGGGATCGATTCTTCTCGTTTATAATTTTACTCTCGTAAACTAAGTTTATCAGGAAATTAAATATTTCTGAACCGATAATTTAGTTTTGACGATTAATTAACGATTTGAGACTTTTCTTTTATAATTGTGTGTGAAATAAATAAAAAATGTAACCATGAAGGAACATGACAAATAAAACAAATAGATCTATTATGGTGATAATTTATTTTATAAATTGTCGGCGTCATCGCTATCGCTATCGCTGTCACTTTCTGTAACATTTATTATAAAACACACACACTGATTGTTTATCGATTTTTGTGTTCATCACTACACTTTTATATGTGGTATCATTATTTCACAAAATGACAGTAGCCAATGTCAAATCTGGAATCGAATTAAAATTCTGACTATACCTATTACACCTACTGTTGCACATCTCTGCATCACCCCATGGTTGACTGTTAGAGAATGTCACCCGGCATTAAGTCCGCCATTGTATGTTTATTATACAGAAGTGTTAATAAATAAATAAATAAATAAAAAGTTATAATTCTTTTTTCACAGACCAAGGCATAATGTTCAAATCAGACTCTTCAAAAGACAACCGGTTGCAGAGCCTATTCCAACCAGATGCAGAGCTGACGTTGAACCAGAAGAACCTCCTCCTCAGCGAGGATCTGAAAAGAAGCAACCTTATTACGGAGATCATGCATCCTAGCTTAATTGAGGTAATCTATAGTCTATCTATACATATAAAATGAAACCCGTTTCCCGTTGTCACGCCATAACTTGAGAACGGCTAGACCGATTTGGCTGAGTTTTTTTTTGTTGTCATTGTTATTGTCAGGAGAAGGTTCTTACGACAGAAATCAAAACGTGAGAAAACGGGATTGCGCGTACGAAGTCGCGACAGAAGCTAGTAATATAATAAAGTTGAAGAGTTTGTTGGTTTTCAAAGTCAAAATCATTTATTTCAATTAGACCAGGAAGGCACTTTTGAACGTCAACAACAAAATTTTGAAAGTGAAGCTGTTTGCTCATTCCTAGGTGTAGATTGCTATAAAGAAGAACGAGCAAGAAATAGGTTCAATTTGCACAGATATCAGTTTTGGCAGGCGCACCGACGGTATAAAGAACAGTAACTTTATATAAAATAACATCACGCCTTTTATCCCCGAAGGGGTAGGCAGAGGTACACATTATGCCACTCTACAATGTAACACCCACTTTTCACTATTTATGTTACGAGTCCCATGTAATAGGGGGTGAGCCTATTGCTATATACCGGGCACATTTCCAGCCTCCGTGCGACTACTGAGAATTTTTTTAAAACCCAGTAATACTTTGCCCGACCCGGGAATCGAACCCGAAACCCCTTGCTCGGAAGTCGCAATTACAACCACTCGGTTAACGAGGCAGTCAATGTAAAGTTATTGCAATTTAAAATCAAACCGCCCATGGCCGGTCTCGGCATGACAGTTTAAAAGATTGCCCGCCGATGGGCGGGCTCGGCGCTGAATGTCTCACGATAGTTAGTATAAAAAACTAGCGGACCCAACAGACGTTGTCCTGCATATCCACTTGAATGTATAAACAAAAATTCATTCAAATTAATTCAGCTGTTTAGGATAAATAACCTAAACATCGACTGCAGCGCCATCTGCCGGGCTGATTTGTGAATCTAAACCATTCCCAGATCCCCTTGAACACACACAAACAATTTCATCAAAATCGGTCCAGTCGTTTGAGAGAAGTTCAGTGACATACACACTTACAGAAGAATATATATATAAAAGAAAGTCGTGTTAGTTACACCACTTATAATTCAAGAACGGCAGAATAGATTTGGCTGAAAATTGGTAGGGAGGTAGCTTAGAGCCAGGAGACCGACATAGGATACTTTTTAACCAATTTTTTTTTACTTTTTACCAAAAATCACGAACGGGGACGGGAAAAAATAGGATTACGCGTACGAAGTCGCGGGCAGAAACTAGTTATATATATAAAGATAGTGAAGGAGTTTGTTATTTTGTCGTCTAGAAGTCACTTTACATACTCAGTACATAGTTCAGATTACGATGATAGGTAATTTAATACTTTGATTCCGATGAAGGCAATCTATTTTTCTTGTGGCATCGAGCATTTCTTTCTTTATTTAAACAAGAGTTTATTTATTTTCTTTTTTCATGTATAGAAGCACTATTTTATATGGATTATCAGTATACATATGTGAGGACCATGTCAGACTTAAGATATTTGTTTTCTATTGGTTTTGTTTGTTTTTTTTTTATTATTTTAGTACATTCTGTTATTTGTATGCTGCGTCAAGTATGTCTTTACATTATTCTCACATGTGTGTACAATATTGGAATATGTATTAGAGCAATGTAAAACAGACTTTTTTTAACTCGTCGAGTACCGGTTTTATAGACACAATTAAAGAACAATAGGTCGCGGTCACCGGTGACCGCTTGGTGTTTGACAGTTTAAAAGAGTAACGAATGGAGTTTCTTGCTCGTTCTTCTCCACTCGAATCGACATTTTGGAACGAGCGCCTAGCTTCACTGACGGACAGACTGACAGACTATTATTTATTTCATATTTGTTGACGTTTCAAAAGCACCAAATTAAGGTTTAATTGAAATAAATGCTTTTGAGTTTGAGTTTAATCGTGGTATAATATATAATATATATAATATATTCGTTTGTTTACAGGTCGCCCGTCAACAAATGCAGTCGCAACATTCAGACTCAGAAGATTCAGAAGGACTAGACGTTTTAGGTGTTGTTGGTAAGTATCGTCACTGCTTTCTTTTGCGGTGGTAGGCAAAGGTACTACTTATGTATTATCTGCTTTATTTACATCAAGATTAAGGTGGATTTTTTTAAATACTGGCCAGCCCCATCATGCCCCCAGCAACTAGAGGATTGACCAACAGACTGACACTTTAATTTTTTTTTATTGACGTTCAAAAGTACCTCCTTCTTTATGGGATATAAGCAGGTAGACGACCACCTGATGGTAAGCAATTGGCGTCGTCCATGGACATCTGGAACACCAGAGGCGTTACTAGTGCGTTACCGGCCTTTTGGGGATTAAGAATTTGAGGATTGTTGGAGACTCACTTGTTCACACAACGCAAGTGTTGCTTCACGTCGATTTTCTCCTCGGCCGTGGTATGACTCCGGTCGAGCTGGCTCGTCCGTGCAGAAGTGTACCTCTCACACACTTAAAATACTGGTCTAATTGAAATAAATGATATTGCAAGTGCGACTGCCGGAAAGGAGTCTCGGGTTCGATTCCCGGGTCGGGCAAAGTATTACTGGGTCTTTAGAAATCTCAGTAGTAGCACAGAGTTTGGAATGGCAATAGGCTCACCCCCTATTACATGGGACTCATAACATAAATAGTGAAAAGTGGGTGTTACATTGTATAGTGGCATTAAGTGCCACGCTGTAATGTGCACCTCTGCCTACCTCTTCAGGGATAAAAGACGTGATGTTATGTGATATTATGTTATGAATTTGACCTTAAATTTGAACTGTCCGCAGGTCTACCGAAAGAAGTCGTCCGTCTACGTCTGCGACCCACGAGATCATCTTCTATACTCCACTCCGTAGAGGACCTGTCCACTGACAGCACTTGTGTGTATAAAGCCAGAAGGAATCTTAGCAGGTGAGTTGTGATTCCTGTTCATCATCTTCAACAGCCTATAAGTGCCCACTGCTGACCAAAGGCCTCTTCTCACATGGAGAAGGTATCTTATACTATTATAATATTATAAAGAGGAAAGATTTGTACCTATTTTTGTATGTTTGTATGTTTGTAATGAATAAGCTCAAAAAGTACTGGGCCGATTTAAAAAAATCTTTCACCAATAGAATTCTTCCAATTTGACATAGGCTACATTTCATTTTGAAAAAAATGAGGGATCCTTGGTAAAATTTGAACAATGTAACCGAAGGTGTAGAAAAATGAGTCTTAAAATGTCTTTCGTCGAATGCGCTGCCGAAACTATTAGCGATAGAACAAAATAATGTACAACAATATTGAAGAACATTATAGTGTATACAAAAAACTCCGCGGTAGCATATGTCCAACTATTGTAGTTATGTCACTACAACAATCCAAATTTCCAAAAATAAATAATTGTCTACCCCGTGCGAAGCCGGGACGGGCTGCTAGTACTATTATATAAAGCGGAAGAGTTTGTTTTTTTTTGTTTGAACGCGCTAATCTCCGTAACTACAAGACTGATTTGAATAATTCTTTTTGTGTTGGTTAGCGTATTTATCGAGGATGGCTAAAGGCTACAAAACATCACGCTACGACCGATAGGAGATGAGCAGAGCGTGTGAAACCGCGCCGAAGTAGCTAATATCGTATATAGACAACACGGTTAATCCGGTGGTTGAACAACCGGTTGCCACACAACGTGTCGCGGGTTCGATTCCCGCACGGAGCAACTCTTTGTGTGATCCACATATTGTTGTTCCGTGTCTGGGTGTCATGTGTATTGTGTATGTGAACTTGTATGTTTGTAAACGTACACACGACACAGGAGAAATGATAGTGTGGGTCAACGTTTTAAAAAAAAAGGATATCAATAAAAAAATATAATTACGTCTCCACAGCCATTCGCTTTCCGTTCCAAGTCTTTTGTTCTCGCTTTCAACGCTTGGATTGTACTGTATCATCATCATCATCAACAGCCTATAAGTGTCTACTGCTGACCAAAACCCTCTTCTCACACGGAGTAGGTTTAAGCATTAACTACCACGCTTGCTCAATGCGGGGTAGCGAAACTCATAATAATAATTAGAAAGTTGTTTCGGCTCTGGGTGTCATGTGTATGTGAACTTGTATGTTTGTAAATGCACCCACGATACAGCGGAAAATCCTAGTGTAGGGCAATGTTTAAAAAAAAAAATCATTAAACTGTCAAACTTCGCGAGGACACCGATGACCGTAACTTATTGTTCTTTAACTCGTCGAGTACCGGTTTTATAGACACAATTAAAGAACAATAGGTGGCGGTCACCGGTGACCGCTTGGTGTTTGACAGTTTAATTGTGTCTATAATGACGGTACTCAAAGGATTAAACTGTCAAACACCGCGAGGACACCAGTGACCGTAACCTATTGTTCTTTAATTGTGTCTATAATGACGGTACTCAAAGGGTTAATATATTTTCTTTTCCACAGTAAATCTCTATACATTCGCCCCCCTCCAAGTCGCCTGATACCGTGCAAGCTGACAGAGCCAATCACCATCAAGCAGGAGGAGGTGCAGAAGGAAGAAGTTCAGATTGAAAAGAAACAGGCTGGATGTGTCGACAAAATATCTAGGTAAGATTTTTTTTTATGGGACAAGCCCGCCACAACCTCCCAAAACCGCTGCAACTCCTGTAAGCCAGGATCTACAGTAGATACAACCATGAAAACACCGGAACATTGAAGTCCGGCGCGTCCCAGGGACATGAGTAACTGTCTTGGTTCCCGCAACGAAGTGAATCAGAAGATATTATAAGAGGAGAAGAAGAAAAAACTATAGTTTCCACTTCCCTTGGTGAATTACTGCAGGAGACAGAACGAATTAAGCCTAAAGGCACAGAGAAGATACTGTACATCTAGGTAAAATTATTTACATAACATCACGCCTTTTATCCCTGAAGGGGTAGGCAGAGGTGCACATTACGGCACTTAATGCCATTGTATAATATAACACCCACTTTTCACTATTTATGTTATGAGTCCCCTGTAATAGGGGGTGAGCCTATTGCCATTTACCGGGCACAATCCCAGGCTCCGTGCTACTAAATAGAGTTTACTGTGTGGGTATATATTCGAAAGATTGTGAGTTTTTTATTTGTTAATCCTTCATATAGTCTACTTTTTATCCCACAGGAATGTGATCGAACCCGGTGAGAGGTTAGCCTAAAAAAATTTAATTTTTTCACAGGTATTTAGACGTATCTCTACTTAAATCATGGCGGTTTGGTCTGCTCTGTGCGTCTGTGGCTCTCATGTCATGTGGGTCTCCATACGCGCTGTACTATCTCCCTGCATACACTGTCGCTGCTGGACACAGTAAATCTGCCGCCGGTAAGTTAATATCAAAGTTGAGGTCAATGTAAAGGTTAAAGTCAAAATTAAACGTATTGTTTAAATTACTACAGTAATCTTAATAAATGTATCATTGTAAAGCAGGATTAATGCGGTGGAAATGAGAGCCCTGAGAAGTATGTGTGGACTAAAATTGAGTGATCGAGTGAAAAATAGTGTTATTAGAGAGAGGTGTGGATTGAAAGACGATGTAGTGACAAGGATTGAAAAGGGAATGTTACGCTGGTTTGGACATGTAGAAAGGATGGATGAAAGTAGAGTAACGAAAGAAGTATACAGAGCGGATATGAATGGAGCCGTCGGTAGAGGGCGCCCTAGACGGACATATAGTGACCAGATTGGCGATATATTAAAGAAGGGACAAATTAAAAGTACCCTTAACCGACGAGCATGCATGAAAAGATTGATGACTGTTAATGAAGCGAAAGAGGTATGTAAGAATCGTAGTAATTGGCGTTCCTTAGTCTCTGCCTACCCCCATGGGAGACAGGCGTGAAGTTATGTATGTATGTATGTATGTATCATTGTTTTAGGTCATCTGGTGGCTATCAGCGCTGTTTTAGACCTTTGTGGACGGCTGGGACTCGGCTGGCTATGTGATCTTCATCTATTTTGCAGAAGAAAGGCTTATATCGTCAGGTGAGGTTTAATCATGTTTGATTGATTTTATACTCATATAAGTCATGCTTCGGTACTTCGCGAGAGACACTCCGGGTGTCGGGGATCGCGAGAGGATCTCCGGCCATCATAAGCCCGAAGTGTACTTCGCGATGGCAGGGTTGCAAAACGCGTCCCGCCACCTCCTTAGATCATATTCGTTTAAGAGATCTATATCGAACATAGGCTTCTTACAAATACATAATAAGGATGGTGATATTGTTTTTTAAATCATCACACTAATTAATATTATAAATGTGATAGTTTCTTTGTTTGGATGTTTGTCCACCAACGCTGAAACTACTGAACGGATGTTGATGAAACTTGGTATACAGGCAGGGTATGTGCTGACTTAGGTGATACTTTTTAATATGATTAAATGCTTCAATGGGTTTAACAGCAATAATATTGGAAAGTGGGTGTTACATTGTACAGTGGCATTAAGTGCCGTAATGTGCACGTCTGCCTACCCCTTCGGGAATAAAAGGCGTGATGATATGTATGTATATTCTACGCGTACGAAGTCACGGGCAACAGCTAGTAATTTATGTATAATACGGTAGATGACTAATTTTTATTTTAATGTCCGTCCGGTAGATTATTTTAAATCATTAGACACGTATTTTTTATTTTTTTTACAGATACGAATACTTTCGATGCTATATTGATTTGAAATGTCGCGTGACGTCACTTCTATGTACATTTTATACGTAGAAATGACGTTTTAGCCTCCACTCCTAAACTTTGATTCGTTTTATCTAAGTATTGTTTTATAAATTATTATATTTTCGGCTTACTCACGTAATTATTTGACGAGGAACTCGACTAGTTTCAAGCCATGCTAGAGGCTCATATTCATGAGCAGCATTTCGCGACCTGCGACGCGACGACTGTCGCGCTGCTACTAGTCGAGTTCCTCGTCAAATTATTACGTGAGTAAGCCGAAAACATAAAAAATTATTTAGTATGTCTCACGAAAGTTACAATACAAATAATGTTTTATTATACAACAAAAAAAAAATACGTGTCTAATATTTTTTCATTACCTAACTGACGGACTAATTAGATTTTTAATTTTCATACCCTGTCATCATCCCAATTTATTATGTTTCACAGTATACTGGTGGCTGGTATCGCAGTTCTGACCCTGCCAAGTCTCAAATCGTGGTGGGCGCTCGCCATTGCTTCTGGTGAGTGCAAAATATGTAAACACAATTTATAACAAATAAGTAATTAATAATTACTGCCTTGTCGGCCGAGTGGTTGCAAGTGCGACTGCCGGGTCTCGGGTTCGATTCCCGAGTCAGTAAAGTATTACTGGTTTTTTTTTAATTCTCAGTAGTAGCACGGAGTCTGGAATTGTGCCCGGTATATGACAATAAAATCATCCCCTATTACATGTGACTCATAACATAAAAAGTGCGTGTTTGTAAATACCCTCTTTTACAGTGTACTGTAGTGTGTGTATAGTGGCATTAAGTGCACCTCTGCCCACCCCTTCGGGGATAAAAGGCGTGATGATATGTGTGCGTGGCCGACTGTATTTTAACTAAAATCGTGGGTTACTCACGTGAATATACTGAGAAAAGCTTTACTAGTTTCGAACCACAGAGCTGCCTACTGAGCCGCCGAGTAGGCAATTTTAGTTAATTTAATATGTCTCACGATAGTTATTATAAAGACTATATTTTAGACTACCAAGTATTATCCAAGTTAATGATTCCCCAGGTGCCTACGGTCTCTGTCTTGGCTGCTGGTTCCTGCTGGTACCTGTTCTCCTAGCCGATGCCTTCGGAACAGCTCGCATAGCCTCCTCGTACGGGTTGGTGAGGATGTTCCAGAGCTTAGCTGCTGTTTCTGTACCACCTACTGCTGGTGAGTTTTAGTCTTCAGCTATTTTTGTATTGTGCAACAATCGTTGGACGTTTTAAATTGATTAAGTATACTTTTTTTATAGCATAAGCCGGTAAACGAGCAGACGGATCACCTGATGGTAAGCAATCGGCGTCGCCCATGGACACTCGAAACACCAAGGCGTTACAAGTGCGTTACCGGCCTTTTGGAAATTAGGAATTTGAGGATTGTGGAGGATTCGCGGATTTGGGAGACAGGGACTAGGGAGGGGGGTAATTGGGCCTCCAGTAACCTCACGCACACGACGAAACACAACGCAAGCGTTGTTTCACGTCGGTTTTCTCCTCGGCCGTGGTATCACTCCGGTCGAGCCGGTCCATTCGTGCCGAAGCATGGCTCTCCCATACTTAGAGGTATTTACTGATCACGAAACATTCGCCCTAGCGAAATATTCCGTGTGTCCATGGGCGGCGCCGATTGCTTACCATCAGGTGATACGTCTGCTTGTATAGAGAATTATCCCATAAAAACCCACAGGAATGCATTTTGAGTCCCTGTCCAAAGTCCACAATGTTACCCAGCCATTATGAAAACTTTACAGTCATATTTCAAAGATAGTCTACGTATTGCCAACTTATGCAAGTCATGCACAAGTCATAACATAAAATATTGTACGTTCAAAAAGCAACCTTATTGTCTTCGCTTATGATGAAATGTAAGCGACGCTATGCAAGTATGCACTTCACCCTTTCTAATACGAACTCCGGCCACCGTAAGCGCGGGCCTGCGGACTGCGAGCATGGGTGGCTCGCCGCTCGACCAGAAACAGACCCGAGCGTACGGCGCTGAGCGTTCCGCGCACGCCTCAAAGAGACATCAGACCAACACGGATGGGGCCCAATAGGGCTGATGCCGATTCGGAGCCGCGGAAAACCTAACGGGTTACCGGGGCTCCAGCTCGAAGTGCAGGAGTAGGAACGGGTGGTTTTTAGTCAGTAAGAGTCTGACACTCCCTCCCGCCTCACCCAGGCGGGAGCATTCTTTCGATGTTTTCCCCCCTAAAAAAAGAAATTGTCTTCGCGGAATGTAAGCTACGCTATGCAAGTATGCACTTCACCCCTTCTGATAGTCAAATGCTTGGGTCTCGCCTTAAATCATCTATTTATTATTTTACAGGTCTCCTCCGTGACGTAACCGGCGGCTACTCCTGGTGTTTCTACGGCATGGGCTCCTGTATGGTCCTCGGTTCGATTCCCGTCATAGCATTCCATTTGAGCACGAAAAACGAAGACTCCGATTCTTCCGTGGATTGAAGATCAAAAAACTATTTATAATAAGCAATATAAAAAGCGTTTACGCTTTTAAATAAAATGTAAAAATTAAACGGGGGTCTATAGAACTTTAAAATCCGTATGGGGTCTTAGGAAATGTTCTAGATGGGGTCAATAAAATATATTAATGTGATTTGAAGCGATAATTTTTGGGGTTAAAATGGTATTTCTGATTTCTTTACTGTGGTGTCTCGATGTGACTGTTCGCGTGTTTGTAATTTATTAATATTAAACTATGTATATGAATGTGTTTTGAGGATAAAGTAATTAAAATGTTGATTTAAGAAACGTTTTGAGAATGAAACAAAAGGTTTAGACGTGACAAAACAAAGTGAAAGGTTAATATTAACTTAATGAATTGAATTTGTATGTGGACCAGAGTATTTTGGGTACTTCTTCCAAATTTCTGGTTTATTTGGTTGAGATAGGTCGTCCTGTCATCTCTAGGATGAACCCTTTCAGTCTAGTTTGGTTTATTGTATTTATTATAGTATTAGACGATTTAAGATTGGAAACAATATTTCAATTTATCAATATGGAGTTTCAGTAAAATTCTAACTAGTATTGAATGAAATGCAATAATAATGTTTAAATAATTTTAAGAGTTTTCGTTTTTGTCTAATACTATGATAAATGTAATAATTTTTGTGGTATTGTCATGAGCTAATATTTACAAGTCAACAGCTCATGTAGTGTAGAGATTGTCCAGTCAACTGATGGTAGCGTGGACTGTCCATGCGATACGTAATTAGGCATCGACTTGAGCTAATGGTAATATGTAAACAGTGACTCATGTAGTGTAGAGATTGTGCAGTCAACTGATGGTAGCGTGGACTGTCCAGGCGATACGTACTTAGGTATCGTCGTGAGCTAATGGTAACATATAAACAGTGACTCAGGTAGTGTAGAGATGATTCAGTCAAATGATAGTAGTGAGGTTGTGTGTCCAGGGTGCGACACTTGTGGCAGTTTATGGAAAATAGGGAAGGTACTAGCACCCTTTAACATAGTTTTGATATATTGGTATCGCCATACATAATCATAATACAAGTAGTTAGTTTAATTGTAATTATTGTGTTATTAATACCTTGCCTTGCTTAAAAACGTATATATGTTGGGTCTTACTTTATATCCGAATGGTGTTTTGCAATGGTAACTAGTACTTCGATATTAAAACATAATTCATAACTGGTTTTTTGCTCGGTATATGGCAATAGCCTCACCTCCTATAACATGGGACTCATAACATAAATAGTGAAAAGTGGGTGTTACATTGTACAGTGGCATTAAGTGCCGTAATGTGCACCTGTGCCTACCCCTTCGGGGATAAAAGGCGTGATTTTATGTAATGTTATGTTATGACGTAACTGGTTTGAATATTTATTTTGGTTGATTAATTGATATTGTCAGGTCTATCAAATAACGAGATCTTCTATAAAGATTACTAAAAATATTACTGGGTTTTCAGTCGGAATATTGTCACTATTAGACCGGTATCCGTGATTGTATTCAGCATTTGAAATTTCACTTGGTATTACTAACAATATGTTACAACAGTTACACAGGTTAACAATATGTTAAGAGTAACAGGTAACAGATTTAACAATTTGCCGCGACGTCGCAGCTCTCGAGGCACGCTGCTCATGAGGAAGAGTCCAACTGTAATTCGAAACTAGTAGAGCTTTTCTCAGTATAATAACGTGAATATTATAAAAACAATATTGTTAATAAAAAAATGACAGTTATACATTAAAACTATAATATAATAACAGCGCGACAGTCGCCGCGTCGCGTGTCGCGGAATGCTGCTCACGAATATGAGCCTCTAGCATATGGCGTGAAACCAGTCGAGTTCCTCGTCAAACAATTACGTGAGTAAGCCGCAAACAGATTGATTAAAAGTGAACAGATATTGCATTTTTTTAACCCATTCGAGAAATAAAGTGAGACCATAATACATGTATCTAGTATCTTTACGATGAATATTCCTACTTAGTGTAGACATGAATACTATTTTACAAAATGCCTACAGATTAGCGGCTGATTTGCTAATGAAGAAAATTATGTAGTTTCAAATGCATGCAGGTATTTAGTCGTTTATGATTCATATATTTGTTATTTTATACCTAAAATGTTAACAGACAGACTCGATTATTGATTAGCCGTATTGAAACTAAAGATGTTACTGCAAACTGGTTCTTACAGTAAGTGGTAATCAATAGATTTTACAACCTATGAAGTAAATATGAAAGTGAATTAAAACAAAGCTATTGGTAGCTACAATCATTTGGAAATTGAACCTTGTGTTAGTCATGTTATGTAGCAAATTTAAATACACTATCTATCAATCTATCTTTTCCCATATTAGCTTATTACAATGATTTTAAACATCTGGATCGCAAGATTGGTGTTGAATAATTATAAATGTAAATGTTTTACGTTTTAAAATATGTTTGAGTTACATAAAAGCATCATTAAATCATGATATTTATTTAGTTACAAATTGTAATTGTTTTTTGTTTCATACAGGTTAAATATTTCTACCTGGGGTCATTATGATTCTTTGATTGTTTTCACTGAAATATCTTCGGCGTCAAGAATACTAGGACTTTTAATATAAGTTTCCCCTTTATTTACAAAGATAATTTGACATTTTTATGTGGGGTAACTGGACCATTTATTTATTTTATTTGTGGGGTCACTGGAACGTTTATTTATTTCATATGTAGGGGTCATAGGAACTACTTCTAGTTAAGACCCCATTTTTAAATCTTGATTAATTTCGTTGTATTCAAATTACTTTTTTGTATAGGTAATCGCAAAGAGTGTATTAATATGTATGTGTACTATGTGTCCATCGTGATATGTGCTGTCAACTAAGAAATGAATTAATAATACGAGAATATGCTTTGAATAATGGATTAACGTTTTATATCTATCGATTGGAAAAGTTATAAAGGTAATAATCTAGTGATTCGCTTTGAGTGTTGTATTTGTATCGATGTGAAAGTAAAATTAACAGTAGATCACTTATTTTATAATGATTTTTATCGCCATATATATTACATCTCCTCATGACCTCTAGCCAAATGCCACTTTAGCGCTTGTCTACAGAGAGAGTAGAAATCAAAATGTATGGGGTTGACACTGACTTGTGTCAAAATTTACGTCAATTCCATATAATTTGGTTTTCTATTCTACATGTAGACAAGCGCTAAATGGCATTTGGCTACAGCTGCATGATCGCAACGCAATGAACAGTGAAATGCTTTTTAAATAAAGTCTTGGTTTCAAGTATAGAGTTTGTAAAGGACGTGTGGTTTTTTTTTCGGATTTTGATAGTTTTGATCAATTGGAGTCTCTTTGAAGGATCAGATCCGTAACGAAGTGATCCGACAGAGAATCAAAGTTATCGACACAGTCCAAAGGATTAGTAAGCTGAAGTAACAGTGGACCGGTCACATTTGTCGAAGATTCGTTGGGGTAAACGTATTCTAGAGGGTTTCTAAACGTGTTTAGATATAAGGTCGAAAATCCAATGGCATAATTTGATAAAATGAAGTAGGTTGAAGTGCTGGCAACTGTACTTATGCCATTGCCTATTAGGCTCATGAGACGTGACATTTGTTAAGCGATCTGTAGAAATAAGATATGAAATAAGTGATCTATTGTACAATTTATTAATAATGTCTGTGATTAAGAGAAATGGGAACTATTGTTTATTGCTCACCAGAAGGTCCGAGTGAATAGGTTGCTTATGGGTCGACGTGTTCCATCGTAGACCACGTCATCGCTTACAAGTCACGCGATTACGTCATCGCTTAATAAGACAAGATTTTTTTTTGAAGGGGGGAAAATCATCGAATGACTGCTCCCGCCTGGGTGAGGCGGGAGGGAGTGTCAGAGTCTTACTGACTAAAAACCACCCCGTTCCTTCGCCTGCGCTTCGAGCCGGAGCCCCGGTAACCTGTTAGGTTCTCCGTGGCTCCGAAGCGGCATCAGCCCTATTGGGCCCCATCCGTGGTGGTCCGATGGTTCTTTGAACCATAAGAAAAGATAGTGGTCTAACGTCAGCCCATCAAATATATAGAAAAAAATGGCGCCAATGTAATAAGATCTTTTTTTGTCCAATCACAGCATCTGTTAAATATTAATCGTACAATGGTGTGACAATTGGGATGATGACAGGGTATGAAAATTAAAAACTAATCAGTCCGTAAGTTAGATAATGAAAAAATATTAGACACGTTTTTTTTTTATTTTGTCTTATAATAAAACAATACTTAGATAAAACGAATCAAAGTTTAGGAGTGGGGGCTAAATCGTCATTTCTACGTATAAAATGTCCATAGAAGTGACGTCACGCGACATTTCAAATCAATATATCGTCGAAAGTATTAGTTTCTGTAAGAAAATAAAAAATACGTGTCTAATGTTTTAAAATAATCTACCAGACGGACATTAAAATTAAATTAAGCATCTACCTTATTACCTAATTCACTATTGGACAAAGAACGAGGTGTACACTAGTGCCATCTGGTGAGTAAAAAACTATTAGTCCTTAATGGAGGTGTGTTGTGATGCATAGTGATGAAATGGATCACTCAGTGATCAGATAATGATTTCATAAGTGAGATTTGTTTAATATAATTAAAATTCACAGAATATTAATTAAATTAAGTGAGAATTGTTTGACTATAATTTAAAATTCAAGGAATATGACTTAAATTGTGTGTAATGTGATTACAAATGTTTGTTTCGCTTAAAATTGTTTTGACTGCCTCGTTGGCTGAGTGGTTGCAAGTGCGACTGCCGGGCAAGGGGTATCGGGTTCGATTCCCGGGTCGGGCAGTGTATTACTGGGTTTTTACAAAATTCTCAGTAGTAGCACGGAGTCTGGAATCGTGCCCGGTATATAGCAATAGGCTCACTCCCTATTACATGGGACTTATAACATAAATAGTGAAAAGTGGGTGTTACAT